CTACTCCTCCAATTTTTTCCTTAAAGTTTCTTCAATTTCAGTCCTTTCTTCCTCTCAACAACAAAGCAATAAAGGAGAGGAGAAGAACAAAAATAATTAAAGGAATTAAAAGACCATCACCATCTCCCACCATCACCACAACCGTTCACATGGTTTAAGTCCTATTCCCTGCCCTAGTTACATACTTTACATGTGTTTCACTGTTGCACCTTGGGGCCCTAATCAGGGCCCTCCATTTTGCTCGATCTGGTGCCTACCTATAAAAAATTAGTCTTTATTCCAAAGTGTTTAAAGTCTTTTATAACTATTAAGGGGGAAATAAATGAGGCTGGGGGAGGGAAGACGCAATGAAACTGGAATTAACTACATGTGGTATGATAAACAGCAGTCTGAAGGTATTAGCCACCTAGACACCGCTGATCACACTGTCTGTCTGGGCAGTAAGCTTCTTTAGGAAAAGGACCTTGCATTCTCATGTTTGTACAGTAACTGGCACATTTTAAGCCTTGTATACTTGTAAGAAACGTGGAATATATAACAATTTTTAGACTAAAAAGTCATCCAGTGTTTTTTCCACAGAGATTTTTTCTTTGAATTTGAAATATTTCTTAAAAAACTAATAAGGCTAACTGTCAAGCTCTGCATAGATAATTAAAACTCATACAGTTACAACCTCTTCAAAATATTAAAGGAAAGAGAAAATATTCTCATGCTAAAATGGTTGTTTTTATGGGCACTTCCTCTCTGTTCTTGTCTGACATTCTGTCTATTTTTGTAGGGGTGAAAGTATTCACAATTTGGTCCCATTCAACGTTTGAAGAATCCACTTGCTCTGGAACAGAGAAGAAATCCCTCCTTCCTCGTGTACTAGAGATTTCTCTCCGAGACTCGCATCAATTTCAAACAGATAGGGAGTGCAACACTGGCTCACAGGATACTCTTATTGTAAGGTCAAGTTTTACTATGACAAACTTTCCTGTAACTTGAAGCAGCCAGGATGAAGGGCAAGAGAGAACACATGAGAAATCAGCCACTTTTGTTCAGACTGTATGTGTCATACTGATTCATTGCACTTATTCAAATCAAAGTGGATGTTTGGATATTTAAACTGAAAGCACAATCCTAAAAACAAAGAGAAAATTAAAAATTGTGAATGAGGATGAAGCATATCATCATGCATTTTTTTTAAATGAGTAGCTCAGGGCTTGCTTTGATCTTTGATACCCATGTGTTTGTTACTACTTAAGTTACATACTCAACTTGTGTATAGTAACTGATCATGCAAAATATGTTGCATCAAGGGTTAGAGCTGAGATCTTCAACATTCAGCTGTTATTTAAATAAATGTGGTTTGGCATGTTTGGTATAGATTACACCAGGTGGCAACTGTTGGAAGATTAATCAAAGTTTTAATAATTTCTTGTTTGCGTAGCAAAGAAAAACATTTAGCAAGGAAATTCTGCTCAATATTTTTCCCCACCAAACAAAATATTTTAGTCTATCATTTTAGCAGCTGGCCATAAAGAACGTGAATAGGTTCTAGTCCTAATTGAAGTAAATAAAAAGTGTAATAGTTCAGCATTATGGGAAGAAATTATTCTGTTGAATTTGAATCGGGTAAAGCCTCCTCTGGAGTACTGTGTCTGGTTTTTAGCTGCAAACTTCAGGAAAGATGTAGGCAAATTGGAAAGAGTCCTGAGAAGAGCCATAGTAAGGTTTAAGGAGACAACATAGGAGGAAAAGTTGGCACACAAGTTGTTTCTTTAGTTTCAAAAAGAAAACACCCGAGAGGGCTATAACAATAGTCTTCAATATATGATCAATTGTCCTCTAGGTGCAATGAGGAGGGTAGGATAACCTCACTGTATAGAAAATTCTGATTAGATGTAAAGAAAACTTTTTAACTACAAGGCTAGTTTAAAAGGTTACCGAAGTTTAAATAACAACTGTCAGAATGGTTTAAATAGACTTGATGGGGCAAGAGGATGAAATAGATGACTTCTGAACTTTCCAGGCCTACATTTCTCCAGTGCTGGCGATTTAGTATAGGGGTTGGCAACCTATATTCCACGGGCTGGATCTGGCCTGCAAAGAGATTTTTAGCCACCCTGGCAAGCAGTGGTGCAACGAGGGGGGCTGAAAGGGGCAACCACCCTAGGTGCCAACCTGTGGGGGAGGTAAACCAAAGAAAGTGGCTGCTGCTGGCAGCTGCATGTTCACATTGACATTTGTGACTGAACCAAAAGTTGCCCCTTCTGCTTTGTCCCAAGTGCCCTGTACTGCATTCCCACACTGCTGCTGACAAGCTTGCCAAAAAGTGGTATTGTTTTTTCCTACAAACTAACTAGATCATAGATACACAAGGTTTTGTAAGCAGTGCCTTATGTAATCAGATGCACCATCTGCATTAATTCAAGCCTGTTAGTGAAAGGTTGCCAACCCGATTTAGAATATTTGCTAAGAAATTAAGAAAACTATGACCCAAATCTGCTATTCTCATCCACATAACACTTTCAGTGAAACCAACAAAAGATTTGGATACAGAAAGGGTATTCAGGCCACAGTTTGGAAAAAAAAAATCAATAAAACCAGTGAATAGTGATCTAGTCCACCCTTTGCTTTGATATGGATCTCAGGATGGAACAAGGACTAGACATGATCTATCAGAAGCATAATTATCTTATTCATGTAATAACAACAGAAAGTTTGACAATTGCTGATCTTGTTTATTACTGATATACCAGAAAAGGCATTCTACTATTCTACTTAAGGATGGGCATTGTCTGTAATGGATTCAACCTACATCTATTAGCTTATGGTTTTTGCTGTCTCATTGGGCTATGGAAATCAAGGAAACAGTATTCTTTAGCAAGAAATAGTTCTAACACAGGTATCTAGCTGTATTCAAATATGTACTTGCTTACGTACCTGGCAAATGTAAAGGCATAAATCAGATGTGGTGTCAGATTGCAATTCTATTTAGGGAAATGAGTTGGGTCTTTAGGGTTCCTACTGGTTAGGACAGGGAGGAAAGAAAGATCTTTGACTTTATTTAATAGTACATAACTGTGCACTCTTTTACAATTCTACAAAGTGATTAACTAAAATGGGTTATGGGTTACTTATATTCAAATATGTATCTTTGGTTCATTATTCAATGTAAAATTGAATTGACATTCACCGCATGGTTGGGCGGTGAATGTCAAGGGCTATAGGCTGTACAGGAGG